CGCGGCCGGGCGGGAAAGGCCAAAGTTTCTCGAGCCCGTCGGCTATACGTGAGCGTGACGCGCGGGCCTGTGGGTCCGGCGTCAGGGGCGTCCGCGGCGTCCTCGCCTCCTTCCGCGTCCGCTCTCCCGAGACTCAGCGAGGGCTGAGGCCGCCTTTCGTGGACCATCGGGGACGGTCCAGCCTCCTACACACGGTCGCGCAGAGACGCTTTACCGGAGCGCCACGACCCAAACTCTCGGGCAGGCGCCTTTATGTGTGAACAAGAGGTTCCAAACCCCGAGTTTCCAGAGCCAGTCTGAGAAGGGGTCCGAGGAAGGTTTCACTTTAAATTCAAGTAAGCCCCAACGTGTATGTCGTTTTGGTACAAACTCAATAATCGTAATATATAATTTTAAAATTACCCCCAATCGTCCCCCAAATTTTTCAGGGTGTTTTCAAAGCCTTCCCAGGCTATGAAATCCCTAACTGGGGAAACTGAATTAGAAGATACTATTAAAGATATCATTAGTGTTAAATATCCTGTAATACAGGAGGCCCAGTTAGATCGGAGGCCTTTGCTGAAAGCTGAACTAATAAATACCTATTTTGAGTTTTTCCCCAGCATTATAACTTTTTAGATCTTCAGATGGTAATACTTTAGCATAATGCAATGCTCAAATTTCGGAACTATTTTGATTTCTGAAAAATGCCTTTTTGGCTTCAGGGACGTGGGATCCTGTTTTTTTTTTTTTTCACAAATCAGTTTGCATCATAAATTACAAACATTTGCAATAAGATCTCAAGATTGTTTATTTTATGTAACCTCAAGCACTTGACTATGTTAAACACCAGTACAGAAAGTCTGTGAAATCAGTTTAATGTGTGTGAGGGAATTAAAGGATCACTCCTTTTCATCACACAAACAAAACATTTAAGATTGTTTTGATTGTCAGTCTCCCAATTTTTAAACAGTCTTACAATTGACTATTAATTTTAGTCATTCTGTGCAAAAATAATTACTAAAGTTATATCCTGCTTTAATTAAATGTTTCTGGGCAGAAAAAAATGATATTCTACATTGGGAAATGGGTGATTGTTTTTAATGTTATATTATTTTCAATTATTTTAGTTCAAATGTAAATAAATTCTACTAATTCCAACGCGGGGGGGGGGTAGAAAGGCCTAAATGGTTTCTTAATGTGCTGTTAGAACAGTTAGTCAAAGTGCATTAAAGGAATGTCACAAATCCAGAAATAATAAATATGTCATTCTAATGAGAGTGTTAACTTATGGATAATTTATTCAAGGTAGTTTTTACATTTCACATGGAATCTCTTATTATGACCTGCCTGAGTACTGTGATGCTTGTTCTTCAAAATCTAATTTATATAGGCTTGGGATATACATAATTCATGACTCCTGTTGATATATGTATACGCACCCCGAATTTTAAACCTTTACAATATGTTTGCATGTTTACTAGCATGTTTTCAAGACAACTGGAATAAAAACATAAAAGTGTTAAACATTGAAAGTAAGTGCTTGCCCTATGTGTGAAGAAAAAGTAGCTGAGAATTAAAATTT